CCGGCCCCGCCCCGCCCCCCGCCCTCCCGAGCCCGGGCACCGGGGACCTGGGGCGCACCTGGCCTCGCCACACCTGGCCCGGGCGGAGCGGCACGGCGCGTGGGCCGGTACCCGGAAAGTTAACCAGGGCTTCTCCCCGCGGGCTCCCGGCCAGCTGGCGGGACGCACAGGCCCCCGTGTGCGCAGGCCCCCTGCAGGAGAGCCTGTCCTTGCCCCGAGGGACCAAAACAAGGATCTGTCCCAGGAAAAGAGAATGTTCTTGGATAGGAGACACATTGTGTTTCACTCTGGAATGGAACCTGGGCTCAGAAAACAGCCTGGGCTCTGGTCCCAGCCTCCCACTTCCTAGCTGTGGACTTCACAGCTTACTTAACCTCTCTGTGCCTTAGTTTCCTCATCTATTATATGGGGGACTCACCCCTGCTTACCAGGGTTAAGAGAGATGCCTGTGTTATAAAGCCCTCCGAACAGTAGTGCCATATACGTCACAAGTGCTCAGTAAGAATAAGCTATTATTATTTTATAACCAGTGTCATCCAGGCAAGAGCTTTGTCACTTGCTCAGCATTACCCAGGTACACGCCCTGTGGGTAGACAGGGTCATAGGTGACCAAGGCAGCAAGGACAGTCCTCATGGAGCTCGCAGTTCAGGGGGACACAAATGATAAAACAGACGTGACAGGAACAAGGCTTCCAATGCTGTGGCATGGGAGGTGTGGGGCTGATCTGGGTAGGGCAGGTCCCAGGAGGAAGACAGAGTTGGAAGCAGCAGGAGGATCTGGGGACAAGCAGAGGGCAGCGAGGAACCAGCCAGAGGGGAGCAGGCTAGCTGAAGCAGAGTTTCACCTGTGTGGGGCCCAAAAGAGACTGTAAAAGCGAGGGGCCCAGAAGCAGGCAAACAAGAAATCAGCTGGGAATCAGCTGGCGTGCTAAGGGGCCTGACCTTTAACCAGAGCCAGCAGAAGCCCCTGAAGGGTCTGAGTAGGGGAGTGTAGCTCTCACCTGCACAGGTTTCAGACCACTCTGTCTTAGGTGTGCAGGGCAGGTAGGACAGAGGCTGCCAGGCAGGTGTGGCACTGGATTGCTAAAAATCCAGAAAATGTGAGGCCGACCAGACCACAGGGGTAGCAACAGGGTCAGAGGAGTACGGAACTCCCCTGGATGTCAGCAGGCAGGCTCTAAAGAATGCCAGGTCGAGGCTGAGGAATGAGGCAGGCCGGAAATAAATATTACAGCTCAACAACTGAGACCAGGATTCAGACCAGAAGGCTGGATATTGAGTTTGAGATACCCAAGAGGCATCCCGATGACTACATCCAAAGAAACAATAGAGGAGGAGTCAGAGCTCACAGAGGGCTGCTTGTAGTGTTTTTTCCCTCTTGTCTTCTAGACAGCAAAAGAATTCAGTGACTGAATATACTGATAATTCAATTACACAAAAATTAATGTCCCAGGACATGGAACAATGAAGATTATGCTACAAGGGATGCAAAGATCACTTGAAAGCCATACCTGTCTTCTCCACCTCCTTGGGCTACAAATTCCTTGAAGGTCAGGTCTGATCTTTAATTATCATTTAGCCCACTTAATTATTGGAATAGGTAATTGTACTATAAACACTTCAGCTGAATTGAATATATATCACATTTAGAGTATCGTGTTGAACATAACCCCCGTATGTTAAACATCACCTCTTTTCCCCAGGTGATGGTGACTGCGACATCTCTCTGCTCTTGTCTGTTACATTCTTTTGTTTGTTGAACATCTACGATTTATGAAGAAAAGTTTCTGCTGTCATGTGTTTCTAGTGGGAAACAGACAATGAAACAAATCTGACCTAAAGTGGCATGTCTTCTCAAACAAAGTGGGTGCAGGAATAGTATTTGTGTGGAGGTACAGGGACAGGCACTGTTCTAGGTGTTGAGGGAATGCTTCTCAGGGGATGACATTTGACCAGAGGATCAATGAGAAGGAGGGAAGAGGCCATGGGCATCTCAGGAGGAAGGGCACCCTAACCTTAGGGAACAGCAAGCACAAAGGCCCTTGGTCTAAAAATAAGAGTGACGCTGGTGTGTGGGAAAGGGAGTGAAGGAGAAAAAAAAGGGTGCTCAGAGAGACCACACAGGTGAAATCCTACAGGACCCTGCAGAGTGCGGGGCCATTTGGGCCAGTCTGCTGGGGAAGGAGGTCAGGATGCGTGTGGATGACGGTGTTAAAGAGGAGGCTTTTATAGTCACAGGCGAAACTGACCATGGCTTGGGCAAGGGGTGTGGCGGTGCAGGGGTGAGAAGTGGGAGGCAGTGGAAGCTGCATGAATTTAGATTCTGCGGGATTCTTTGAAGGACTAAATATGGTGGAAACAGAGCAGTGAAGGAGTCTTCTAGAAGGAGACTTCAGCCCGCTTGGCAGCTCTGTGTCCACACCAGGCTGCGGCTCCTCCGCATCGCACCTCCAGGACCTCCGCCTGGGCCCTGAACCTTGAACCCCTAGGAGCCGCAATCCCTTCCCAATGTGCTTTCCTTCCCGACCTGCCCTTCCTCCCTCTGTATGATCTTCCACCCCTGTTCTTCTACCACCACTGCAAATATATTACGGATGATTCTCAGCGCAGGCTTCTTTCTAATCTCCACATCTCTGGAACAGCTACAGTACTTGAAAACTGGTGCTAACTGCTGGTTAGCGAGCGAAAAGTACAACTAGAAGAATGCCTCTGCCCTCCAGACACAGGAGTGAGCAAGTGAAGTAGATGTGGACGGTGGCTGATGGCTCTGGAGATTCTCAGCGGGCGAAGACCGGAGCTGAGCAATGTTCTAAGGGATGGAGAGGCATAGAAGGCCCCAGGCAGCGAATTTGCTTGATATCCCAGCTGCACACTAGCAGCTTGCTCCAAGACATTTTACACTTGAGTTTTGTTTTATTTTATTTATTTATTTTGTACGTATTTGGTACAGAGTCTCACTACTGAGCTCAGACCCCTAGTGATCCTCCTGTCTCAGCCTCCCCAGCTCTGGGATTACAGGTGTGCACTACCATGTCTGGTCTCAGTGGCCAGCTCAATGTGCCCAGGGGCAGGGCCAGCGTGGCCTACGGTGTGGAGGATTGAACCCCAGTCCCTGCGCTTGCCTAAGCAGGAGCTTAAACCACAGAGCTATCTCGCCGGCCCTTACATTTGAATTTTAAAGTCACTTCTGGAATGGCCTGGAATCAGTGGCTATTTTGTAAGACTCTGCAGCTTCCCCACCAGCTAACCTCAGAAGCCTGCCAGAGTCAGGCTGAGGCCTGGCAATAGGACACGGGGGCCCGAGTACAGTACACAGGCTGATGCGCCTGCGCTGTTTCCTCCAGGCGCTGCAGTTAGGAAGCAGGGTCCCTAGTGCACAATTTTCCTACTTTCCAAGAGAATTAGGAAATCCAGCATTTTCTCTGAGTTCCTCCTAATTTTGCACATTGGAAACTGGTGCTTAAATTAAACACTGCGAGAGACCAACACACAATCTATTTGTAGATAAGATATGTCCAAGCGGTTCTACCAGTTTGAGGCCTCTAAATTCATATGAGGTTATAATCAAAAAGCTAATGTATAAACCACAAAACAGCCTAAAGTTACATTTTTAAGGAGGGGGGGAAAAAAAAAAAAACAACAAACATGGGGAAGGGCTGGCCGGGGTGTCCTTTGTCACTTGAAAGAAAGTTGAGCGGAAGGCATTTTGTCTCAAGGCAGGCTGACACGATCTGTGCACTCACAAACAACAGATGTTAATTGCTTCTAATGCACTCTGAAATGCCAAGCGCAAAGAGCAGGACCTCCCTACCTCGCAAAGAGCCAAGTCGGAGCTGAAAGCGTGCCGCCGAGCAATTCTCCTGATAGCCACTTTCTTCTCGGTGATTACCTCCTACACACGCAAGGATCCCCAGAGCTGAAGACCAGAAATAGCCCACACAGGATACCATCTGTCTTTAAAACAAAAAGCAAGAAACAGAGGTGACTGTTAATATCTTGAGACCAGGGGTGGGTGGGGCGTGGGCAGCCCCCAAGGGCGGCGCTCACAGGTGGGCGCTGAGAACCTGAGCCACGCCATCTAGCGTTGCAAGAGGACCTGGATTTGCTTTCCAAGAGGGAAAAATAAGATTTTTTTCAGTTTAAGGTCTCCTTCCGCCACGAAACCCCAGAGGCGTGCTTGCTTCTTTTCTTGGTTGGTTGACAGAGAGTCTTAGATCTGATGAAGAATGACCCGCTTTGTGTCCCAGATCCG